TCTAGGTTTGTTTAAATGACCAGTTATGTAAGATCTGCCAGAGACATCACATTCTGCCTGTCCTAGAACATGTTTCCAAGGCAGTTATTAGTATCCATTTTATAGCATGGATCATTTCAGAATCCAACATCATCTTGAGAACACTAGAAGGCTAATTTCTAGAATCTGTTGGCCTAGGCTTTTTAACAGACTCTTCCCTGGAAATCAGGAGCTCCTTGGCTAGGTCACCAGTTTTTAGAGCTAATCCCACCACTTACTGTACGACCACTGGCAAGTTACTTAATATCTATGCATTGCAATGTTCTCCTCTGCAGAATGGTCATATCATCCTTGTCCTTTGCAGAACTGCTATGATGAATAAATTCACTAAATTTAAACATAATGAAGAAAGACCAAGCATGGAACAGGGCACCTAACTTGAGAAATCATACTAAAAAGTTATAGAGAGCCAATTATCAGCCTCTGAATGGTTTCATTTATGATGGCAGAATGGAGTCCTTCACACTCCCACTGTGAAAGCTTGAAATGCCTGGGTATTTTACTATCACACACACATTACTCATTTATTTTACTGGATAACTGAAAGATAACTGGATAATTTACTGATTTTACTTAGAGGTGCAGCTACATACAATTATCTTAAAGATTACCTGGGTGGTCTGTGCATATCCTTGAGTGGGCTGGGCGGTGTAAGCACTGTAGCTGCAAAAGAATTAAATGCAACAACTTGAATAGAGAACATTCAAATACCACCTCTACAATTATAGAAGGCTCCATACTCAAAAAATATTAATCACAGACAAAATGCGGTCATAGAAGACTGACTTACCCCTGCTGCGCTGCAGCTTGGCTATAGGTACTGTAATCTAGAGGAAAACGAGGAGAAAAAATAGTGTAGTTAGCAGAAACAAGAAGAGAAAAAAAGGGGAAAGATTCATGTGGCAGGAAGAATTATTTAAACTGTAGGGGAACCTGCCAACACAGGTCCAAATGAGTCCCCCTTATCTCTCAACACCTAATAGAAAAAAAAGTCTAAGCCAGTTAAACTCAACATTTGACTATGGGACTAGCTAATGAGGTCAAGATCAGCTGATTTGGCAGGTATACTTTGCATGTTCTCATGACCACAAAACCCATCCCAATTCCGACTGTCATTTGAAACACAGATGATCATCAGTATCTCAGACTTACAACAGGATCAGAAGTTTTTTCCCTCATATAAAACGGAGGCATGCAACAACAATACAAAGTTTAACACTAGATTGGTTAGGTTAGAACCTACCTCTCCTCAAAAATTAGTTTTCACTCCCCTCCCTTTAGCAAGTTAGACAAACCACCATTCCCTAGCTCAACGACAGTGAAACAGAATGGCAGAAAAGAGGGCAGTCACCACACTCCAGTGTTTTAAAGGGTTTGCTGTGTCAGAACTACATTTGTGCAGCAACTTAAAAGCTAGATATATTATAAATCCTGGTGAAGCAGAACTAAGGCAGAATCCTGAAGACAGGCAAAGAAGAAAAAGCATTTAACCTTTCTGGGAAAAATTTGGCAACACCACTGTCTCTCATACAACTCAAAATGATTTCGACTTTAAAAAGTAAACCTCCCTATAATTTTCCTTTTCCTATGAAATTCACAGCATGCGTCCAAAGGTACCAAAAACTCTGGTCCACTGAGGTGTCTACAAGTAGTAAAAACAAAAAGAAAATAGTTTTTAGAGCACTACTGCATTGAAGTTAGGTAAGTTTAGTTTCTTTAAAGGCAGTTAATTATTTTTGAAAATTCTGCCCAATTCTTTCTTCTCCACAAGAATACATATCTTGTTCTGTCTGAAGACAGTTACTGCCATTAGGACGGAAAAAAAGGGGTCCTTTATTTTCCAATCAGAAAGTAGTCCCTTATCCAAAATCAACAATTGACAGCTCTTTATTGCATCCACTTCACGCAATCCAAAGCCAGCCTCACAATCCCTGGGGCGGCCTGAGAGAGCTTTGCTGAATCCATCTCTTCACGTTGGCTATCTGTCTACCGCTCTATACTTTAGTGGACTACTTTCTTTCCTTTGTACACACTCGTAACTCAAAACCCTGAATCACCAAGAGGATCAAATCAACTGCCCAAAGGCTACCTATAATGAAAAAATAATTTGTTCATGGCAATCTTAAAGGCATTTTCAATAGCACTACAAGTCATACTCTGTGTGACATTAAAACTAAATGCAAATCATTTCTTCCACGTGGCATATACAAAATAAACACAGCAATGAATCATTCAACATCAAATATTTTAATTCACGTTTTGTTAAGGTCTTTGATAAATGATTCTAAATCACCGACATGTAAGTACAGTTTGCAAGACGACTTTTACACAATAGCAGTTATGTAAAACATAAAACTGGCAAAGCTGATATGGAACAACTAATGACCTCTTAACAGTGAGAAACCAAAGGATTCGGCCCTATACTAACTGGTGGGCTATGGAAGGTAGCAAATTTGTTTCATGAACTTACATGTATCTTCCTAGAGCACACAAACATCACTGGACCTCAAACAAGCTATTAGGTTGGTGCAAAAGTAATTGCGGTTTTTGTCATTAAAATGGCAAAACTACAATTACTTTTGCACCAACCTAATACAATTACAAACTGGTCAGATTATTCAGCAACCGTGTTTGTTTTTAACCCCCAAAAGTGAGCCACAGACTTCACTAAAAATCACTTCACTGTGATTGAGGGGTGAGGGTTCTAGATTGCAGCGAGTCTTTTCTACATGAGATACACACGAGAGAAAACTTCTATTATTATTAACCCAAGGCAATGCTTTAACACTTTATAGCAGTCACTATGGAAGCTGCTTCACACTACCTGAGTTGAAGTCAGCATGGGACAAATTTGTGGAATGGTTATGCAGGAAGGTCAGAAAGGCTCAAAAGCTTAACAGGTCTAGCCTAACTTCTGTATTTTACAGGAAAGGAAACTAAGGCCCAGATTACTTATGTGACTCTCTGAAGGCCCCCCAGCCAGGCCTAATGTGTTTACTTTGTGTCAACGGAAACCACAACTGTAATTCTAATACAGTACAAGCACATGGTAGTTACTAGTGAACAAGGTTTGAACAAAGTTGACTGAAAAAAGACATGTCCGGCCATGCAAAAATGTCAACGCACACGTTTTGCCTTTTCAGGCTTTTGCAGAGGAGAAGAGGGTGGATAGGGCACCTAGGAAACCACTTTCCACCAGGAGGTTTAGCTGTGGTATTTGAGTCCTCTCTTCTACCGGCCTTCTTTGGTATTCCAGCAAGAACACCCAACACTTACCTGTTTATTGACCACACAGATGGGGTGAATTCTTAAACTGTCCTTAAGTTGGTGGATTCTGGACTCTAAAAAACTCTGGAGGGTCCAGAGCTTTTCCTGTTTTCCCTCTCATCTTCTCCCACTGTCTCTAAGGCCTGGAATCAGGTGGCCTCAGAATACCCCCAGAGGCAAAAATGCTCCACCCTGCCAATTTCCGCGGGTTAGTGTACCCACAGCTTGCGAACTGCAGGTGGTGGCTAGGCGACACTCTTAAATGCTCCTTCCATCAATGACCACTCTACTCCCATTTTGGAGTTCCCATCCGGGGCTTGCTTTCAAGTGCCTTTAAGATCGCCTCTACTGGCCTCTTTTCCCTCACCTCTGTCGACCTTCGCGGCCTAACGCAAGCGAATAAACGTGCGAGACCACTACTGAAATATAATTCAAATGCAGGCTCGGCCTTTTGTTCCTCCTAGGTCAGAGAGGCCAGAAATATCTTTCTGGTAGCATTTCTCGTCTCTCGATCCAGGCTGGCCTTATTATACAACGGATGTCCCTCGGCGTTTGCAGAAAAAGGGCCCTAGGAAGCCACTTAATTGGTTTTGGGGGAGGGGAGGGCGTGAATTAACAAATAACGATAAAAATGGAGAAGCCCAAAAAAGTGGCAAACTGGGGGCCCTGGAGGAGGGAAGCACATTCTGTCTAAAGCCCAGGAGGGCAGAAGTTCGGCTTGGGGCTGGAAGACGCCGAGAGGGCAGTTCGGCAGCGCCAGACGCCCCAGCCGACTGGGCCTTAAAAATGACGGGGCTCCCGCTCATAGGCCGGCACCCCTCGGCCCACAAATCCACGGTATCTTTCTTTGCTTTTTCCCCTGGTTTCTCGGGAAACCCTGAAAACGCGGAGGGAGGCCTCACAGGGATAGCAGCCTGCGGCCTCCCCGGCGGTTTCAGTGACCGGCTCGAGGCCTGGCCAAATCCTCCGCTTCACGCAGGGCCTCGAAGGCCGCAGGCCCCGCCCACGTGGCGGGAGGCCCGGAGCGCAGGGCGCGAGGACCGCCACACAATGGAGGCCAAAGCGGGCCCCGCGCGCCACCGCTGCAGCAAGCCCCCTGCGCGCCGCGGGCGCCGGAAGATTCCAGAACCGGCCCGCCCGGTGGGGGGAGGGGAGAGGAACGCGGATCCCCGAGCTCGTCGGGTCGCGGCGGGTGCCTCAAACCCCTCTCGGCAACTCCACTCAGTCTTCCCAGCCAAGCCCAGAGACGAACGACCCCCAGTTTGGGCGTTCCGGCTACCGCCGGCGCGACCGCAGTTCCACCATACTCACCCGTGGACGCCATTTTCTCTCCTTCCTCCTCGTTCTCTCAACGTCCGTCTCCCTCTCGCTTTCCCTCTAGGCGCCGCACTGCGCAGGCGCAAATCCCGCAACCCCGGGCGCGACCATCAGGCCAGGCCACGGGGGTGGGGTCAGGAGGGATGAACCACCGCTTTCTCGTTCTTCGCGTGCGCAATCCTTGTCCCAATCCTCTCTAAAGAGCGCCCGACGTGACACTCGGGCCAAAATAGCACCTAAGGGGCCAGAGCGCCGGTGAGCGGGTCTCAGTGTGAAAGCGGAGAGGCTCTCTTCACGAGGCTAGGTTGTTTGGAATGGTTCCGTCCGCTGGCTCTAGGGACCGTCGCTGAAGAGTCTGCCCTGCAGGGAGACGGAGATCGGCGGGAGGGCTGGGGGAAGGGACCCGGACTAGAACAACTGCTGACTAATCCGCGGGCCGCGGGGAATGGGTGGCGCGCCAGCCGGCCGGCCGGGGTCACGCGGCCGGGTGTGCGCGGAATGGATTCAGGGTTCCCCGATCTCGCCCGGGAGCTAGAGTCCCGACTCCCAGCCCAGGTCCCCCACCGGCCTTTCGGGGTTGCTGGGCGCGCTCTGCAGTGAGTAACCGGGACGCGTGGCCCGGGCCAGCGGGGAAGGGCCCCGAGGCCGGTCGGCTAGGTGGGAGGCCTCGAACGCCGTTTCTGGCCCCGAGACCCCGTCCCCGGTAACGGTCGAGGTGGAGCACGCCCTTTAATCATCCCTCATCCAATACCCTTGTTCCTACAGAAGGGGAAACTGAGGTCCAAGGAAATTGAGTATCTTTGCAAAGTCCTCAGCTGAGTTCGAACCAGACAGATCCTGGGACCCCCTACTCTATCCGCCACCCGGAAGAATCTTCGTCCTTGTCTTTCCATTCTGCCCTCCCGGCTTCCCAGTAAGGTAGGCAGGGCCTGGTGGTGCACTGCCCGTTTCATAGATTGAAGAAAGTGAGGTCCAGGGGGCTCAAGTCCCAGTTCCGAGTGTCCACGGGCAAGCCTTTCACCCTTGCTAAGGAGCCCAGAGCTGGGGAATGGTTGTGAGGTGAGGATACAGGAGGAGGTATACGGTGGGTGTCTTGGCCCCAAACCCTGCCTCCAGGCAAGGCTGGCCCTGCCCACCTCTCTGGACCTCTAACCCCAGCCCCCTAGGTGGATACCCGGGTCCACGAAGGGCAGGGTTCACCTTCAAATCCCTCAGCAGGACCAGGAGTCAAGCTAGTGTCCTTTTTTCAGTGAACATATATAAAGCACTGGTTGTGTGCTGCGAATACCCTGGGAAATGTGGGGTTTGATCAGAGGAGCCATGAGCTCAGACCACCTGCCTAGGGAGACAGACTGGTCAAGCTGTGCTCCTAAGGATAAGATCCCTGATGTTGGGGGGCCAGAGGAGGGGAAAGGATATTTGAGCTGGGCTTCCAAGAGTAAAATAGGAGTTTGCCTGCTGGCGAAATGGAGGGAAGGACAATGCAGGCAGAGGAGCTTTCCACATTTTTCCTGCAGGAAACTGGTAGATGTGGAGAACGCGCTTGGCAGGGGAGCAAATTAGGCAGCCTTCTTGTCTCTCTGGGATCCTTCTTCCTGCCCTGAATCAGCTCAGTGGGAGTCCTGAGACAGAGAGGCTTGACCAGGGACCTACAGGCCCTGGAGGACGACGGGCTGGATGCAAGAGGAGAGCACAGGGGAGAAGGCCTTGCTTTGGTGGGCAGGGAAAGGCCATGTTTGAGGGCCAAAGCTGGGACCAGCTAGGCTGGAGCAGCCACCTCCATACTAAGGCCTTCTCGATGGGCCAGTTGGTGGCTACCAATGCCTGCCATGATTAGTGGGGATTGCTATGATTTATGGAGCAAGAGTTGTGGGCCAGGGCCTACCTTAGCCTATTCCTTTTTATTTCATCATCCTCTGAGGAAAGGAATTTCTGAATTCCCATTTTACAGATGAGAAGGGAGAGGCTCATCTGTAAAATGAGGCTCATCTGTAAAAAGATGAGGTTGGAAACTTGCCTTGGGACACGGAGCAGAAAGAGGTGGAGCCCATACTGGAGCCTTCCTGTGGAAAGGGGAGCTATGGCCAGAGGGGCTGTGCCAGTAAGGATGCAGGAGGAGGCTTATGGTGGATGGGCTCACCCTCAAAGGGGATGTCTCAGTCCCAGGTCTCTTAGTATGGCTCAAGGTGTGGGACTCCTGCCCTTCTGCCCCACCCTTCCCCAGTCTGCTTGCCCATTGGCTGGCCCCACTCCAGGGTCAAGGGCAACTGAAACCATCTGGAGCATTAAGGCTGGGCACAGGGTAGGGGAGGAAGGAGGGAGGTAGTAGCCTGAGGGAAGGGGGCGGACAGAAGCGGGCTAGAGATGGCCCTGAATTCGCCCAGGGGGGTGAGGGGCTGAACCCCTCTTTTTGGGAGTTTAGGGCCCATCAGGACTCAGGAGTCTCTATGCCTGTCCCCTGCCAGTCCTTAAACAGAGGTGAGTGGAATGGCAAGATGGCTTATGAGTGCATGGGTTAGGGTCTGAGCTCCACTATGGCCGAGCTGCTGGGCCTGCCTCTCCAGCCTGTTTCCACCTCTGTAAAATAGGGCTGTTGCTAAGGTGCTTGAGAGGGTATTGGTGAGACAAAACCTCCAATAACAACTTGTTATTGTTTTCTTTTACCCCCAGCGCACAGCCCTAGGACCACCCTTGACCATCCTCAACCAAGCTATGCATGCCAGGGGCCCCCATGGCCCACTGTCCCCGGCGCTGCCTCTCGCCTCCTCAGTCCTGATGCTGCTGATGAGCAGCCTGTGGCTGGTGGGGGCCGGCCCCAGCCTGGTCCTGGCCCCGGAGCTGTTGCTGGACCCCTGGCAGGGTGAGGGCCAGCCACGTGGACCTTGGAGGAAGCAGGAGACTTGCTGTAGGGCCTGGGCCCAGTTGGCAGGAGCAGCACAAGGCCTCCAGGGGTCAAGCAGGGATGGGGCCCAGTGTCCCGGGGGAAGCGTGGCCTTAGGAGCATGCTCAGCACATCCACAGCCAAGAAGGGAGGCAGAGGATTCGGCAGGGTGGGCTGGAACCTGTGGGTAGGAGTGCTTTTCTCATGGTTTCCCGGTCTGGCAGCTTTTCCTTGAAATAAGAACTAAGGCTGGGCGCAGTGGCTGACGCCTGTAATCCCAACACTTTGGGAGACTGAGGCAGGTGGATCGCTTGAGGTCAGGAGTTCGAGACCAGCCTGACCAACATGGTGAAACCCTGTCTCTACTAAAAATACAAAAATTAGCTGGGCGTGGTGGCACGTGCCTGTAATCTCAGCTGCTCGGGAGGCTGAGGCAGGAGAATCACTTGAACCTGGGAGGTGGAGGTTGCAGTGAGTTGAAGTTGTGCCACTGCACTCTGGCCTGAGTGATAGACTGAGACTTTGTCTCAAAAAAAAAAGAGAAAACAACTAAGACTTTCAGCTAAGCATGAGGATGGAGGAGGAGGTGTTGGGGGTTCGAGGAGGGACCTTAGCTGAGCACCTGTTTCCCAATCATAACAACTCCAGTTTGTATTTGAGGACCCCCAATGGTGCTCAGAGAGGTTAAGTGATTTGACCAGGGTTACACAGCTTGAGGGAATGGGGTAGCTCCAGGATTGAAGCAGGCCATCTCATGCTCTCAGCCAGGTATGATTTAGTAAATACAGAAGCAGAGTACCTTCATGGTGTCTGGGACATAGTGAGTGCTCAGTTGCAGGTTGTCAGTGCAAAGACTGAGTGGCAGGTGCGGTGTGTTCTGTTTAATACCACAGAGGCGTAGCCACAGTGTTTGGAAGTCCTTGGTCCCATCCACCAATGATTAAGGGCTGACTGTGGGCAGACTGGCTCCTGGGGAGGGGAGGTGGGCTCAGCAGGTGGCCCTGGTGTAGGGTAACCTTCAACCTAGCACACCTGGGACAGCCTTGGATGTTGGGGCCACTAACCTGGCACATAAGCCCCTTCTCTCTCCCAGTGCACCGGCTGCTGACCCATGTCCTGGGCCACACGGCCCTGCCGGGCCTGCTCCTGAGCCTGCTGCTCCTGCCCACTCTGGGCTGGCAGCAGGAGTGCCACCTGGGCACGTTGAGATTCCTGCATGCCTCAGCTCTGCTCGCCCTGGCTTCTGGGCTGCTGGCAGTACTGCTGGCAGGCCTTGGGGTGTCTGGTGCAGCCGGCAGCTGTGGATACATGCCTGTCCACCTGGCCATGCTGGCTGGGGAGGTACACCACCCTAAACGGCCCCGTGGGGCACTGCCACCATGGCTGCCACTGTGGCTGCTGCTTGTCCTGACCCCACTGCTCAGCTCTGAGCCACCCTTCCTGCAGCTCCTTTGTGGCCTCCTTGCTGGCCTGGCCTGTATCCTTTGCCTGAGCCCAGGGCCCGTGGGGATGTGTGGGTTCTGTGGGTGGGTGCCTAGGAAGGAAGTGGCACAAAGGGGTGAAGTCCCAAGCAATACCAAGGAGCTGTGCACACACATTCCAGGAGCTTCTCCAAGTCTTCCTCTGGGACATGCTCTGGGCTGGGACCTGGGGGGGGTCATGGCCTGGTGGAGGTGCCAATTACAATGTAAAGGGCTCTGTGGGCTCCCTATAACATCAATGCCATTCTTCGCAGAAATAGAAAAAATAATCCTAAAATTTATATGGAACCACAAAAGGCCCTGAATAGCCAAACCACTCTGAGCAAAAAAATTAAAAAAATTAAAAGCCTGGCCAGGTGCAGTGGCTCACACCTGTAACCCCAGATCTTTGGGAGGCCAGGCGAGCAGATCACTTGGAGGTCAGGAGTTTGAGACCAGCATGGTGAAGCCCCATCTCTACTAAAAATTAAAAACTTAGGCCAGGCACAGTGGCTTATGCCTGTAATCCCAACACTGGGAGGCCAAGGTGGGCGGATCACAAGGTCAGGAGTTCGAGACTAGCCTGGCCAACGTGGTGAAACCCCATCTCTACTAAAAATACAAAAATTAGCTGGGCGTGGTGGCGTGCGCCTGTAATCCCAGCTACTTAGGAGACTCAGGCAGGAGAATTGCTTGAACCTGGGAGGCAGCAGCTGCAATGAGTCGACATCATGCCACTGCACTCCAGCCTGGGCGACAGGGCGAGACCCCAGTCTCAAAACCCCAAAAACAAAAATTAGCTGGGCGTGGTGGCAGGTGCCTGTAGTCCCAGTTACTTGGGAGACTGAGGCAGGAGAATTGCTTGAAATCGGGAGGCAGAGCCTGCAGTGAGCCAAGATAGTGTCGCTGCACTCCAGCCTGGGCGAGACAGCAAGACTCCCTCTCAAAAAAAAACAAAAGCCTAAGTGAATGGAAAGATCTCATGTTCATGGATTGCAATACTTAATATTGTTAAAATGTTAATGCTACCCAGTTGATTTATAGATCCCACACAATTCTTATCAAAATCTCAGTTGTCTTTTTTTGTTGTTGCAGAAATTAGCAAGCTGGTCCTAAAATTAATATGGAAATGTAAGAACCCAGAATACCTCAGATAATCTTGAAAAAGAAAAGCAAACCTGGAAGACTTTACACTTTTCAATTTCAAAACTTAAAACTACAAAAGTGGCCAGGCGCAGTGACTCACGCCTATAATCCCAGCACTTTGGGAGGCCGAGGCAGACAGATCACTTGAGGTCAGGAGTTCAAGACCAGCCTGGCCAACATGGTTAAACCTCATCTCTACTAAAAATACAAAAATTAGCAAGGCGTGGTGGTGCATGCCTGTAATCCCAGCTGCTCGGGAGGCTGAGGCAGGAGAATTACTGGAACCTGGGAGACAGAGGTTGCAGTGAGCTGAGATTGCACCACTGCACTCCAGCCTGGGTGACAGAGTAAGACTCTGTCTCCAAAAAGAAAAAAAAAGCCGTACAGAATTATAATAATCAAGATATTGTGGTACTGGCATCAGGATAGACATACAGATCAATGGACTAGAATCGACGATCTAGAAATAAACTGTTACATTTACTGTATAGTCAATTTATTTTGACAACAGTGCCAAGTCGATTCAATGAGGAAAAGAATATTCTTTTTAATAAATGGTGCTAGAGGTTGGGTGAGGTGGCTCACGCCTATAATCCTAGCACTTTGGGAGGCTGAGATGAGCTGATTTCTTGAAACCAGCAGTTCGAGACCAGCCTGGCCAACATGGTGAAACCCTGTCTCTACTAAGAATACAAAATAATTAGCCAGGTGTGATGGTACGTGCCTGTCGGGAAGCTGAGGCAGGAGAATTGCTTGAACCTCGGAGGTGGAGGTTGCAGTGAGCTGAGATTTCACCACTGCACATCAGCCTGGGTGACAGAGCGAGACTGTCTCAAGAATAAATAAATAGTGCCACAGTGCTATTTATTGGGTGTTCTGCTTCTGAGAGAGATTTTTCTTTTTTTAATTTTTAGAGACAGGGTCTCGTTTTGTCACCCAAGCTGGAATGTGGCAACGCCATCATAGCTCACTACAGCCTCAAACTCTTGGGCTCGAGTGATCCTCTCGCCTCAGCCACCTCAGTAGCTGAGGCCACGTCCAGCTAATTTTAAAATTTTTTGTAGAGAAAGGGTCTATGTTGCCCAGGCTGGTCGTGAACTCCTGGCTTCAAGTGATCCTCCCATCTCAGCCTCCCAAAGTGGTGGGATTATATAGCTGTGAGCCACTTCGTCCAGCCCTAAGATGATTCATACCTATCGGGGAAAACAGTGCCACTGGAGAGAACAGGCTGGCCCCTGTACTCTGGATTGGGGACAGGAGTTATCCAGGCCTGTCTGAAGGCAAGAGCAGGTGTGTCTCTGGGACTTCTTCCAGGAAGGGTGGACCTTGAGTTACAGACCTGAAAAGGTGCATAGGGTTCTGGGAACAGAGTGGGTCAGGGGTGAGCCCAGGCTTTGGGGTAAGGCATACCTGGCTCTGGCTGAGTAGTTTCAGGCAGATCCCTTTTCCTTTCTGAGCCTCTCCTGCTGACCAGGGTGACGCTATTCCATGCTGGGCCACAGTGAGGAGATGGGAGGGAATGGTGGCCAGCACACTTGGCATGGGGCCTGGCCTGTGGCGTTGGCCCACCCCTGGCTGCTTTTGGTTTTCCTTGACTGGCCGCCCTGCCCCGGGCAGACAGACGCAGCTGGGGCCTTCCGGTGGCTGGAACCCTCAGAGCGACGGCTGCAGGCGCTGCAGGAGGGCGTTTTGTGCGGGACCTTGGCGGGGTGCTGGCCCCTGAGGCTCCTTCCCACCCCGGGCAGCCTGGCGGAGCTGCCTGTCACCCATCCTGCCGGAGTGAGGTGAGGGTAATGGGGGGGATGCCAGCCCAGGTGGCCACTGTGGCAGGGCTGGCAGTCAGGCCCTCTTCTGTTCCTACTCCCCTAGGCCTCCCATCCCTGGACCGCCTTATGTAGCCTCCCCTGACCTCTGGCCCCACTGTGAGGGCTCAGCCCTGTCCCCACCAGGCCTGAGGCCTGTGAAGCCCACCTGGGAGGGCTCCTCAGAGGCCAGCCTGGACTGGGCTGGGGCCAGCTTCTCCCCAGGGACTCCGATGTGGGCAGCCTTGGATGAGCAGATGCTGCAGGAGGGCATCCAGGCCTCACTTCTTGACGGGCCAGCCCAGGGGCCCCAGAGCGCACCATGGCTGTCCAAGTCCTCTGTCTCCTCTCTGCGGTAAGGTGGAGTGGGCAGAGGGGGGGTCCCCTCGTGTAGGGGCCAGTGTGGCCCTGACACTCCCCACTTGTCCCCCCACCCCCCACAGGCTGCAGCAGCTGGAGCGCATGGGCTTCCCCACGGAGCAGGCGGTGGTGGCACTGGCAGCCACAGGACGCGTGGAGGGTGCTGTGTCACTGCTGGTTGGAGGACAAGTGGGCACTGAGACCCTGGTGACCCAGGGAAAGGGTGGGCCTGCCCACTCTGAGGGTCCTGGGCCTCCCTAGCCCAGGCAGAGAGTGGGGCACAGGCAGGCCCTTGGGTACTAAGGGCTGGGCTGCATGTGGGTAGCCCGAGCTCCTGCTCTGTCTACTGAGGACCACAGTGGGGAGCAGGGGCACCTCTGGAGGCAGGAGAGGCCAGCATGCTGCCCTAGTATGTGTTTAGAATAAAAACCAGTTTGTTTTTCAACCTGGACCTCCTTGGAGGCAGCAGTTGTGTTTGACTCTTCTGTGTTGGCATCAGGGGGATGAATGAGTGAGTGAGCACCAAATGAATGAGCAGTTGTGGGAGAGCTGTTCCCTGATGTCCGGAGACACAGGCTTCCTGGCCCTGCACTATGTAGCCTGTACCTCCAGGAGGCTCTGTCCTCCAACACAGAGCATTCTTCACCACCCATTTCCAGCTCTCCTCCCATCGTGCTCTCATTCCTAGCTGCCCCCATCTAACCACACACTGAGACCAGGCTGCAGGGAATCAGGTAGGGGCCTTTATTGGCCAGCACACATCTACCTCCTGGCATCTGTCACAAGCATTGGTGGGAGCAGGCAGCCCCTTCTCCATGTCCCCATCCCCAACCTGAGATGTGGGAGGGCCTGGGGGCTCAGAGGGGAGAAATGAGGCAAGCAGCCCCTGGTGATCCAGTCAGAGGATTGGGCAGCTTGACCTCGGGGTGGGGAACCCAGCACTGGACAACAAGGAGGGAGGGGCACAGGAGGCCTCCCCAAGGTTTGGTTGGGGAGGAGAGGGAGGAGGACTGCTCCCTGCCCTGTCATCCCTGCATGTGCTAAGCCCCAACTCCTGAGCCCTCCTGTGCCCCTCAGTGCCTTTGGGCCTGGATACTCAGACAGCAGATGAGACGAAGCCTTGTACCTCTACCCCTCCTTGAAGGCCTGCCTCCCCCCACTTCACAGAGGGAAACTGAGGCCCAAGCCTCTCCTCTCAGCCCCTGCTCAGCCTCAGACATGTGCATGGTGCCAGGACTGAGACCTGCTTACCCCTAAGGCCTAGATGGCAGAAGGGACCCTGAGGATATTAATAAATATGGATGGGCGGTCCCTGGAGGCAGCTGGCCGAGTCCAGGTAGGAGGGGAAGCCTGGCCTCGTCTGCCCCAGGGGCCGCCACCGCCCTCAGCCTCTTTCGTCCCGGCTCCTGGGGGCCACGATCCGGTAGTTGGCTGCATGTCCGCCCCTCTTGCCCCGAAGGAGGCTGGGGGTGCCTGTGCCGGCAGGGCCTGCCCCAGACCCCATCTCTGGTTCTGCCGGAGGGAAGGAGAAGGAGAGAGGCCACATCAGGGGGGTTCATGTGAGGTACCCACCTCCCCTTGGCCCTCTAGGGGGTGGCAGAACTGGGCACCCTCTGCCAGGTATAATCCACCCTGGTATCTGGCTGCAGAGCTGTGGGAAAGGGGGTCTACAGATTGGGGTCTGTCAGGACTTACCAGCCCCCCAACCCAAGGAGAGCACTCAGCGCTTCTGTTTGATTCCTGCTTTGTCAAGTGGGGTTAACCACACCCGCTGCCTTTAGGAAGTGTTTAGCATGCCGTGAATGCTTCACATAAAGGCTGCTGCTTTTTTCGATTCATTTTGGGGTGGAGGTGTGCCCTGAATCATCCCTATGTGGTAGCTGGGTAAACTGAGGCTAGGGAACAGACTTGGGCTAGGCCACCAGTTGGGGGGAAGGGCTGAGGAGGCCAGGCTCTGCCACTGACCTACTGTGCAGTCTTGGGCGAGCTGGACCTCTATCAGGGTCTCAGTCATCTCATTGCTAAAACAGGGCAGTTCCAGACGGAACCGGAAAACTACTCATCTTTCAAAACCAAGGGTAGGAGCTATCTCCTCCAGGAAGCCTTCTGTGACTATCATCTCAGCCCTTCCCAAAGTAAAATGAGCAGGCGAGGCAGGTCAGAATAGGCTGTTTTTCTAGGGGGAGATGGACACTCAGGGAGGAGAGGGCCACGGGGGAGGACTCGGCTAAGCCTCCATAGGACAGATACTTGGGTTCTGGTGAACACCAGGTTCCCATTGAGGGCACTGCTAGGGAGTGGGCTATCCCCTCGTAATCATGACTGTGCCCTGACCCTGTGTGGCCCAGCCACCCGTACACCTCTGGGTTGAGATGAGGGCTCTTGGAGCAGACAGGCATATGTGGTCACTGAAAGGGACATTCCATGCCTTAACTCAAGGAGCATGGGAGGGGAGTGGCACAGAGCACTGGCCCCAGTGCCAGCTAGGATCATGTACTGGTCCTACTCTGCCAGTTATGTGGCCTGGGGCAAGTCGCAGAACCTCTGAGTGTCATCTGGAACGTGGGGATAATAGTCCCGTTTTTACACCCTTGTGATACATGTGTTTACCATGACCAGGACTGGAAAGTGGTTTTCACAGGAAATGCTGGATTATTATGGTTACTAGGTTGGTGTCGCTTCCACCCAGGTCTCCTGCAGGTCTGGTCCCTGTGAGTTTGTCACAATCAAATTTGGGGCCCTGGATGAGTGGCAGAGTCAGCAAACTTTTGCTGGTGAAGCCCAAAGGGCCAGCATGTTAGAGGAGAGACCTGGGGTGGACCCCTAGCCTGACCATTCCCATTCCTGTGACCCTGAAGCAGTCACAAGAGCCTCCGAGCCTCTGTTTCTTCATCTGTAAAATGGCCATGGCATCGCTCACCTAGTAGGCTTACTACTCTAAGAGACTGGAGATGATGGATCCAGCCCAGGTGGGCGAGACACGTGGCAGCTGATACTATTATAATTATTGATTATAACCTAAACAGGAACCCCATCTGGGTCTTCAGTAGCACCTGATATGTATGTTGGGCCAATGGGGAGGGTCCCATCTCCCACTCCGACCTGTCCCTTCAAGCCCTGACCCAAGCTGTCTTGAGGGGCCACTGGCAGTGGGTGTGGGACTTCTGAGGTGCCTGGCACTTCTCTCCCTGGGCTGTCAGAGACAGAGCTGGCTGAAGGCAGGGACAGATCCGGAGCCATGGTGGCCCAAATGTGTCCCTTCTGGCTCCTGCCCCAATCCTCAGAGAGAAGGTGGGGACACCTAAAAAGGTTCTGAGAGCCTGAGATTTGGTCCATGGTCCCTCTCTGTAAGAGGGGAAGAGGTCTGGGAGCTAGGCACTGAAGTTTCTAGAAGTTAGAGAAGCATGCGGCACTGTGGGAGGAGCTTTGGAAGCAGACCCCACACCCTTCCCAGCCTCTGGGCCTCTGCACAGGCAGGACTCTCGCAAGGCTGCCCTGCCCACTTCCCCACCTGGCACACTCATTGGGATCTTCCAGGACCCAACACAGAGTCCCCTCTTCCAAGAAGCCTTCTCTAACCCCTAGGGACAAGTGACTGTTCCTCACCCACATCCTTCCGTGCTCCCCTACCCCATATCTCTGTAGATACGATTCCCTGCCACTCATGGCCAGCACCTATCTATACTCCAGAGTATACCAAGTATACCAAGGCCGGCACCTATCTATACTCCAGAGTGCCAGTGCCCAACCAGGCCTGGCTTTCAATGAGTGTTCTCTACGGTTTTGCTGGATGAAGGAGGCTGGGCTCTAACCTTAACTCTCCTTCCTGCTTGGGACCTAAGTTTCTCAGTCTTTTTGTTTTTGAGCAAGAAGGGTCAGCCTTTGGCAAAGAGGATATTGGGGAAACAATCTGAGGTTTTCTTTTCTTTTCTTTTTTTTAAGACGGAGTCTCACTCTGTCTCCCAGATTGGAATACAGTGGTGCAATCTTGGTTCACTGCAACCTCCGTCTCCCAGATTCAGGTGATTCTCCTGCCTCAGCCTCCCGAGTAGCTAGGATTACGGGCGCCCACCACCATGCCTGACTAATTTTTAGTAGAGATAGGGTTTCGCCATGTTGCCTAGGCTGGTCTCGAACTCCTGACCTCAGGTGATCCGTACGCCTCAGCCTCCCAAAGTACTAGGATTACAGGCGTGAGCCACCGCGCCCAGCCTCTCAGTCTTTAAAATAGATGTGAGGTTGGACATGATGTGGAGGCCTCTGTGCACTGACGTGAGATGGGCTGTGAGATGGTGTGGCAGGGCAGGTGAGGAACAGAGCTCAGACCCTCAGGCAGCCAATCCCTTCCTTTCTTCAGGGCCAGCCACAGGCTCCAGTTTCATGAGGAAAGACCTCAGCTTCACTCCCAGGAGCCAGACGCAAGGCAGGGTACCACCCACTGGTGTCTAACCAACTCCCGTGCTACCCCATCCTGCCTTCTAGGACCTTCTCGATCTAGGCCCTGCCAGATTCTGTCGCTTCTAGGATCCTTCTGGTCTCTTGGCCTTCGCTCATGCTGTTTCTCTGCCTGTTCACTCTCCCCAGATCCTTGCCCTTCAGGTCTCCACTTAGATATCACCCTCCAGGAAGACCACCCTCCACCCCCTCCAACCTCCTCTGGGCCAGGTCAGAGGCACTTCTGTAATCCCATGGCTGCCTGTACTCTCTTCCCTGCAGTATACCTCACCTTGGGTTTCTCTACCAGTGTCAGGGTTCTCCTGAGCGCCCCCAGCACCCTACACTCCTCGAGGGCAGGACTATGTCTGTCTTATCTTGTGGAGCCTGTCCCAATAAGGTGCCTGGCACAGAGCAGGTATTCATTCACTCGAGTGACCAGAGCCTTCTCTCTGCCAGGCACCATCTGCTGGCTGGCTGGCTGGATGAAGAATGAGTGTCCACTGGCCTGGGCCGAGCACTGGAAGGCGCCTTCTGCATGCCCAGGCCCTTCCTGGAAGAGGCTGCCCCTGCCTGCCCGCCCTGCCATTACCTGGCCAGATGATGGCTTCCAGCAGGGTGACCCGTCTGGCCAGGAGCTCCAGCTGAGCCTGCTGCTGCAGGAAGCTCTGTAAGCTAGGAGCCTGATGGGAGATGGAGAAGAGCAGACGGTGCGAGTCTGGCCTCTGAGGGCTGGGCTGGGAAGCCAAGCCGGGAGGGTGGGAGGGCACTGCCAGCTGGCATCTGGGCAGGAGCCTGGGAGTGAGTCTCAGTACTGAGACTTCAGTCTCCCCTCCTATGGTGGGGACAGGGCTGGCCTGGATCCTCAAGTAACCACATGGGTGGGGAGTTTCTGGGTGAATGCTTGGGGTGAGAGCCTGGCTCTCTTAGTCCCCTAAGGGGACCAATAGAACACGTTAGGAGGACCAAGGGGAAAACTGCAAAGGGGACACCTGAGGCCAGGAGGGTCTG